GTTCTGAGTGTTAAGAAGCTAATCATCAATCAACTAGAGGAATGCATTGAAGAGTATAAGAAACTACCTCTAGAAATAGAAGACAAAGGAGCCATTTTAACACATCTAGATATGTCTACTTTAAGTAAAGAAATCAATGAGTTTGGAAGTGTCTCTGAGGTTTATATAGATCCAGCTGCATACTCCATTGATAGTGGGTTAGCTATTCCATTGGCAACAGTAAAGAAAGAAAGGAAATTCAAAGTGGCTCTACCAGCAGACATTGATAAAGCAGCAAGCTATTTGAAGGGTTCCTTTATCAAAAGTGATGGTAGTAAAGAGGAGGGTAGAGTTGTTATAGTTAATGATAACAACACCATTGTATCATGCACACCTCAAAGTATTGGTCGATATGAACTATCAGTGACTATAAGAGGTCGCCATATTAAAGGTAGTCCTTATCAACTGTCAGTAAAAGCATCAAGAGACTATACCACACTAACTAACCAGAGATCCTTTAATGTGGGGAATGGTACTACTGGTGTTGCTGTTCATACTAATGGTGAAGTATTTGCTAGTAGTCATAATGATGGGTTTGTTCTGGTATTTAGTGAGGATGGTACTGCAGTAAGAAGGATTGGATCTAAAGGTAATGGTAATGGACAGTTTGAATATCCTTGGAGTTTATTGCTGGTAGGAGACAGGCTCTATGTGCATGTCTGATCTTAATCTTCATCGTGTGCAGTATTTCTCAGCTACTACTGGTCAGTATATTGGTCAGTTTGGTAGTAATGGTAATGGAAATGGACAATTCTCTTGTCCTTTTGGTATGTTTTCTAATGGTAATATATTAGTAGCTGATCACAACAACAAAAGAGTACAAGTGTTTAAAGAAGATGGTACATTTGTACAAGTCATACAATGTGATGGTAATGCAACTGATGTAGCAGTTGATAATGAAGGAAAGATACACGTTACCATTCGTAATCAACATCATGTGCAAGTCTTCTCTCCTGATGGTAAAACTCATCTTCATACATACAATAATCCAGCTGGTAACTTTAGTTATCCTCGAGGTATTGCTATTGATGATGAAGGATATATCTTTGTATCAAGTAACAATGGCTATCTGCATGTAATGAGTCCTGACAGGAAACAAGTCAAATTAATCTCAGGATTATCTGTTCCATGGGGTGTAGCACTGGATAAGGATGGATATATTTATGTTGCTGATTGTAACAACAAATGTATAACGAAATATTAAAGTAGTCGTTCAATAAAACTGCAATAGATTACATGTAGATTTAATAGAAAAAATAATCTTACAATTTTTGGTATGAAATGATATTTGTCACCCTCTGTCTCTTTTCCTTCCATCTCTCTTTCACACACACAATTCTCTCCCTCCCCCTTTCTCTCTCCTCTCTACTTTAAGTGACTATTAATTATTATTGTTATTAATAGATTAATTTGATTCAAAATTTTGAAAATAAAGAAAAAGTAGAAAATCTCAAAATATCATCATCATCATTATATACTAGTACATACACATGTTCCTAGTGTACACTATAATACATTATACATATGTTTTATACATCATAGTTAGATCACTAGGTGAATCAGTACCTGATAATAAACTGGGTCTACTCTCTCTTCCATTTCTATTTGAATTTAAACTAGTTGTTTCTAAATAATCACGTAAATATGCAACTGCTAATGGCTGACGTCTTGACACAAAATTAACCAGTGTTGCTGGTACTCCTCCCATATCAACCTATTCAATGTACGTCATGTTTGACTCCACCCACAACCACACCTACCTGCACAAGATATGTGACTTGTGTGAGTAGCTTTTCTTTATAGCGATAAGGTTCGATGACCAACCCACTAGTCATGACCTAGTAAAACTTTGTATATTCTAGTAATCTTGTTATATATTTCTCTAACCTTTCCCCTAGTCCTTTCATTTCTTCTGTTACATTATTGAAACTTATCGAGACTGCCTCTGATACTTTTTCAGACTAACATAATTTGATTAAAAATGAAAAATAATATTTCAAAAATTTTAAAATTTCTTCCTTGCCTTATCAGCATCAAAAATGACTTCAAAATTGAGGCAGTAGCTTATCTTGTGATAATTTTGAATATCCTGAAGAAAAGTTATTCTAATTACAAAGAAGTAATAATAAAATTACCTTTTAAAAAGTGTACACCAAGAGCTCCATTTTGACACGTGGTTATAGTATACTAAATTTTTATTAACAGTTTACAGCTCTACTGATCCGTATATTTTGCGGGGGTGTTAATAAAAAGACATGGGAGGGGCTGCATATTTTGTGGCTTGGCTTATTAAGATTCATCTTCTTTTCTTCTTCAAGCTCAGGAATTACTATATCAAATTAAGTGAGTGAATTGTTGTCAATAATAGTGAAATTATTCACTTTTTCATAGGCAGCAATGGCAGAAAACACCAGTCCAGCTATCATCACTATGACTTGTGAGGTTTGTTCAGAGTATTACACTGACCCCCTCATGTTTCCCTGTCTTCACTCATTCTGTAAGAAGTGTCTAATAAAAGATAAAGAGAAGCAAGGTAGTGCTGATACCTCATTAAAGTGTCTAACGTGTGACACTAGCGTTAATTTACCTGATGGTAAAATTGAAGGCCTCACTCAAAACCTTTGGTTTGAACATAAATCAAAAGAGGCTTCAATCAAAAAGAAGATTGTTAGTAAAGAAACAATATTGTGTGATAAATGTGATGATTCCAGTGATGCAGCTGTTGTGTATTGCTGTGATTGTGGTCTGTTCCTGTGTGATTATTGTAAGAAAGGTCATAAGCGAAACAAGAAAGAAGCCAATCACAAGTTGGTTGATCTAGGCAAAAAAGAATCTTTTGAATTGCCTGCGATTAAGCATGATGAAAAATGCTGCCCACGACATCCAAAAGCAGAGCTTCTATACTATTGCCATGATTGTGAATTAATGACCTGCCTCAATTGCCTGCCTACTAAGCATAAGGATCATGCTTATGAAGATTGTATTGACGTAGGAGAAGCAGCACGTAAAGCATTAAAGGAAAGTGTTGCTAGTT